TTTAGTATTGATCTCTGGTGCCGTTTTGTGGTAAATATGCTTGTGGTGAATGTGTCTGATGAATGTCGCTGCTTTGTAATTTTGTTTACCTGTAATTAAGCTGTTAGTTTAGCTCGCTCAGAATTTTGGCGGCTCTTCCCGCCGGCGCCGTCTGACATTTCCTGAGCTATTTCATAAACTTCAGTTCCCGTTTTGTTCGGGGAAGCCGCGCTGTTTTTATATTGTACAGAAACATAAAGTACAGGCTGCCTGATGGTATTAATAATTCTTCCTACTGCCTACAGACTCCTGCCAGCTGACGCTGGACCCCAACACAGCAAACAGAAGCCTGTCTCTGTCACAGGGGAACAGGAAGGTGACATGGGGGGCAGAGAAGCAGCCATATCCTGATCATCCAGAGAGATTTGATGGCTGGGAACAAGTTCTGTGCAGAGAGAGTCTGACTGGCCGCTGTTACTGGGAGGCTGAGTGGGATGGAGATGGAGCCCGGATAGGAGTGACTTATAAAGGAATCAGGAGGAAAGGAGTGAGTGACTGTCAGCTTGGATTCAATGACAAGTCATGGTGTCTGTACTGTATTCCTGACAGTTACTCTGTCCGGCACAATAGTAAAATGACTCGCATACCCATACGGCCCTCAGGCTCCTGCAGAGTAGGAGTGTATCTGGACTGGGGGGCTGGTGCTCTGTCCTTCTACAGAGTCTCCTCTGATGGACTGACCCCCCTGTACAGGGTCACCTCCTCATTCACTGAGCCCCTCTATCCAGGGTTTTGGGTTTATAGAAACTCCTCAGTGTCATTGTGACGTGTTACTGCTTCTCCTGGCAAAAAGGTCAAATCTCTGCTTTTTAACCTTTGTAATCCTTTTGAAATGTATGTTTGACAAAAATAAAGTTTTTCTCTCTAACTAAAATGTAACTAAATATAATCCTGATTGGGGGGGGGGCTTTCCCCCTCCCCTGTATATATACATTTTGGATATTTATGTTTATTTACTGTATTTCCTCCCTGTACAATGACAATAAAGGCTTTCTTTTCTGTCCTATTAATGTCCCGCTTCAGTGTCACCCAAAGCATAACTGAGTAACATGATGAAAAATTTTGAATTAAGTTAAATAAATTCACTTTACTGCTAACACAATTAGAGTAAATCAGTGTATATAATAACCAGTTAACTGGTGAAATAACAAAAACAAGACAGGCACCTTTGCCGCCCCCCACTGTAAAAGGTCTGGTTACGCCCCCCCCCACATTGTGAAAGGTCTGGGTTTTTTTTTACTACCCCTGTCGTGTCGGCAGTTTAGCAAGCAGGATGTTAGTCTTGGTGCTTTATTGTGCCAACACTTTGATTTTGCCAAGTGGAGCTTCGGATTAAGCTCCTCTTGTTACTTGAGATATACTCTTTATTCACCATTTTAGATTATTGCGCCATGAAGCCGGAGCCGACAGGGAAAGTTAACTGAAATAGGAGAGATAAAGACAGGAAGAGAGGAGGGAGAGAAATAGGAGAGGGAAAAAGAGAGAAGAAAAAAAGGGGGGTCAGATAGAGAGACAAAAACAGGGAGAGAAAAATAATACATGACAACTTAAGAAAAAGTAGAGCAAAAGGAGAGAGTAACAAAAGGAGAGAGTAACAAAAGGAGAGAGTAACAAAAGGACAGCTTCTGTATCTTAGTGCTGGACATTGTATCATCACACCAGCTGCTGTATCTGAAAAACAAGATCCAGGTGCATAAGAAGTATACAAGGAAACCAATGGTACCATTATGACAGAGAATAAGCTTGTGCCAGTATCTGCTTCTGGAGTTAAATACATTACAGTTTTTACCCATTGCTTGAACACTATAGACACATGCTTAAACCAAAGAAACATAACTTGAAGTTGTTGGTACTATACCTTAAACAAAGTCTAACCATACCTTAAACAAAAGCGCTGCTTTGCACTTTAGTTGCAATTCTGCAAAACACTTGCTCCTGCACACTACACACTATTTCAT